ACTGCAGTTTTGATTCCAGAATGTGCACAAGTGTTGAATTGCTGAGGTAAAGGGAGAGTGACTAAGATGATTGGGCGTGGCAGGAAGGAGCTAAGCAATATCAGAGTCAATGGGAATAAGGGACAAACGTTAGAGAATCTGAAGTCATATCCAATACAAAGGAAGTTGGTTGTGGTTGTTGTAAGTTAATCATTGCTGTAAGAACCCTTTTGAATTGTATCTGAGGTCCAATTATCTTCAGCTGCTTCATCAACAATGTTCCCTTCAAAGTAAGGTCAGAATATTGTACAGTGTTAAGAGAATAAGATGCAGGAGCAGTAGTAGACTATTCAGCCCATCAGGTCTATTCCACCAGACTATGAGCTCATGGCTGATCTGATCAGCTTCACCTCCACTTTCTTGCCTTTTCGTCATCACTCTCGATTCTCTTACTGATTACAAATCTCTCCATCTCAGCCTTGGATATAGTTAACGACATAGCCTCCACACAAACAAATTCCAAAGATTTACTGGCCTCTAAGATAGGAAATTCCTCCTCTATTTCTGTCTTAAATGGGTGACCCCTTATTCTGAGATGATGCCATGCTAGTCTCTCTAACAAGGGGAAACAACTTCTCTGCATCTACTCTGTCAAGGTCCCCAAGAATCCTTTACATTTCAATAAAGGTACCTCTCATTCTTCTAAACTCCAATGAGTACAGGCCCAACCTACTCAACATCTCCTCATAACACAGCCCCTCAATACCTGGTATCAGCCAAATGAATCTCCTCTGGATTGCCTCTAATGCCAGTGACTTAAGGGGACCTAAACTCCATTGGGTAACATTGGTTAATTCAATTTGCAGTTCCTCGGATGAAGAAAGAATGCACACTCACAACATTCAGCCTTGGGCTGAGAAATGACAAGTGCCAAGCAATGGCCATCTCCAAAAAGAGAGAGAATCTAACCACTGGCCCTTACCATTCAATGGCATTACTGACTCTAAATGCCCCACTGGCATCAGCCTGGAAGTTACCATTGACCAGAGACAGAACTAGACTAGCCACACAAATGTTCTACAAGGTCAGAAGCTGGAAATTCTGCAGTGAATAACTTTAAAAGCTCCTCCTCAACCTACAAGCACAAGTCAGGAGTGTGATGGAATAATCACCACTTGCCCGGATGGGTGCAGCTCCAACAGCAGTCAAGAAGTTCAACACTATTCAGGACAGCAGTCTGCTTGATTGGCACCCCATCCAAAACCTTCAATACTCACTTCTTTCACTGATACATGGTGGCAGCAACATGTACCATCAACAAGATTCACTGTAGCAACTTGTCAAGGCACTTACAAAGCACCTTCTAAACCTGCCCTATCCATCATCTCATAAAGTAAAGACATCAGACACATGGGGGCACCATCGCCTACAGGTTCTCCCCTGCAGCTGGAGGACCATTCAGAACGCCCACAGCACAGGTCAGAGAGGTGCTGGTGACACAGAAAAGACAAGCACATGGGGCTCCTCAACATGGACACACCTTTTGCAAAAACTGACAATGAAGAAGTCCACTGCTGGTCAGGCCACTGGTGCAGAAAAGGAACCCTCTCACTGGGTTACATTTGGCTCACTTTGGTTGACCCTCACTGACCAATTAGGTGAGGTAATGGAAGGGATCTGGTGCCCATGAACTGTATCCCAGCCAAGACACTACACTTTTGAGGAGTTGGAGTCTGCACAAAGAATATGCCTTCGCAGAACTTAGGCAACACACTTTGAATAAATGTATGTTTGGTTTAGTCAATCTAGATAATATACAGCCCTCATTATACTGTCAGCTGTTGAAACAGCTTAGGTAAGGATGAAGACACTCCACATGCTAAGTGAAAAATTAAATTCTCAGTTTTCCTACACATAAAAAATACAAATATATGACTCTTATGCAATTTCCATTTTGTCTTTTCTAGGAATGCGTTGAATTAGTCATCCTCTGGGAAGTGGTTTGATTTTGATGAGGACGCTGCGTTGGTCCAATTGTACTCAGGATCTTGTGGGTAGCTGCAGAGAGAGAGACACATGATGCTGTGGGGAATTAAACCTGCAACACTGACCTGACTCACCAAACTGATACTTAACTGAGGGCCAAAAAATATCAAAGGGTTAAACGGCAGGAAAGGGAAAATGATAAGTATGTGATAAACTACCAACAAGCACAGGGATGAACTAGAATGAACAAGGCTGTGTGCAGTTACCTTGGTCATTAGCCATTTTGTCTGATGACTCAGCTAACAGGTCAGGGATACAAGAGAGAACATCAAAAGCAATTCAATCCAACAAGAGAAAGACGAGGTTAATCAAAAATTCAACCAGACACAAACACATCAAAGCAGCAAAATACATGGACGGTCATTGGCTGAGGCAGAGAGCAGTTTAACCACATGCACAGCTACAGGCAGTGGCCAGCAGCTTCAATTCCATTTCCAAATGACAAGACACGCACACAGGTGACTGAACCTCTCGCTCAACCACTCCGGGTAGAAATGGAGTCGTGACAACTCCTGCCCCTCTCACCCATCTCAAGCCGATGAACTTTAGTCACAGCAAAACTGAGACAGAAATTAGATCAAGACGGAAATTAAACATTGCAATTAAACATTCATTAGTCCAGCCACCCATCCTCAGCACAATCTCCAAGCTGCACATAACCAAAGCTGCCAGAGTACTTCTACACAGATTACACAAATCTATTTTAGAGATCTAAATTTAACAGCTTTTTTCTATAAACACACACGATAGGTCTCTAATCCCACACTATTATCATACACACAGTCCTGATAACTAAACACCTTTACCATTGACGCGAGCACTTCATTTATTATTGTTTGTGCATTTGACTAAACTCCCCAGTCTGCATAATGTGTACTTCCCCCTTACTCTGAAATCTCTTTATAACACATTATAAAAAGATCAAATAAGATCATGAGATACGGGAGCACAAGCAAGCCATTCAGCCCATCAGGTCTGCTCCACCATTCAATGAGATCATAGCTGATCCATAATCCTCAACTCCACTTTCCTGCCTTATCCCTATGACTCTTGACTGATTAAAAATCTCTCTCTCTCAGCCTTGAACATATTTAATGACCTAGCATCTACAGCCCTCTGTGGAATTCCACAGATTCGCCAACCCTCTGAGAGAAGAAATTCCTCCTCATCTCAGTTTTAAATGGGCAACACTTTATTCTGAGATTATATCCTCAGGTCCTAGACACTCCTACAAGACTTTCCTCATTTACTTTGTCAAGTCTTCAAAGAATCTTGTATGTTTCAATAAGGTCTCCTCTGATTCTTAAGAACTGCAGGGAGTACAGGTCCAACCTACTCAATCTCTCCTCATAAGAAAATCCCTCCATACCCAGGATCATCTTAGTGAATCAACCCTGAACTGCCTCCAATGCTGGTATATCTTTCCTTAGATAAAGGGATCAAAACTGTTCACAGTGTTCCAGCTACGTTCTAAATAGCACCTAGTAGATTTTTAGCAATACTTCCCTATTCTTATACTCCATTCTCTTTGAAATGAAGGTCAACATTCTGTTTGCCTTCCCTGTTACCTGCTGAACTTGGATGCTAGCATTTTGTGACTTATGCATAAGGACGCCTGAATCCCCCTGTCCTGAAGCTTTCTGCAGTCTTTCTCCATTTAAATAATATTCAGCTCCTCTATTCTCCTTGCCAAAGTGCATAAAAGCTCATTTTCCCATATCATACTCCATCTGCCAAATTTTTGCCTAATCATGTAATCTGTCTAAGATAACAAGGTGTAGAGCTGGATGAACACAGCAGGCCAAGCAGCATCAGAGGAGCAGGAAGCCTGACGTTTCGGGCCTAGACCCTTCTTCAGAAAAATCTGTCTATACCCCTTTGCAGACTCTGTCATCCTACCACTTGCTTTCCCATCTATTTTGTGCCTTTGGGACTCCTGCTTACGATTGCAAAGAACAGTACCTATCGCCCAATGATACTGACGCTATCACTACTGCATCCCTGTACCATGGTGTCCTGGTCAGTTCATTCATCCCCTTCCCTGATGTGGTCCAATGTCTGCAGCTTAGACTCCAATTCCTCAACTCGGATCCAAAGTTTCTCGAGCTGCTTACATTTGCTTCAGATCTGTTCACTCTGAATCACTTTGGTGTCCACATGCTGCAGCAGCAACACATCACCCATTCTGCCACTACTATTGTGTGTTTTAATTTATAAATTAATTACCCTTAATTTCGTGCTCTTTATATTTTACTTATTGATCATTTTATTTTAAAAATTCACAACTATCAATCTTATACTTAGCCAGCTACTCTTTTTTTAAAAACACTGGAAACCGAAACACAAATTTAAGATCATACTTTTACTTTGTGCAACGAGTCAACATCGGAGCTGTTAGGTGGTGGAATTGGGAAAAGGGTAGATTAGTCCATGATCATCCACGGAAGTTTAGAATATATGATAGCACTGATTCTGACTGTCATTCTCTGCCAGGCATCTCCTCCACCATTAAACGTGCAGCATCAAGTCTGAGAACACTGTCCACTGGCCACGCTGGAGATACAGCTACACTGGGCTCTGGTCTCTCTAGAGATATGGCCACAAACATACTGCACTTCCCATACTTCTGTTTCAGCTCTAATAGCAGAGAGGAGGGTGGGCTGTTAAGTCAGTAAACAGGTTGGTATCATATTCCATCAATGAACAATCCCTGTGCGGGAGTTAGAATGATAAATAAATAAGCCTCCCCCATCGCAGGGTGAAGTTATTTAGACAGTGAAGAGTTTGGGATTTGGGGTTAACTTCAGAAATCAGAGTTACAACAAATCCAAACCTGACAGAATTTTACTGAATTTGTTTCTCATTTCTCCTTGAAGCTACTGAATCACTTGATATCACTAGGAGAGTGCAACCTCTTACTGAGGGATCCCTGTGGAACCTCAGTAATGATGGAAAAGCAAAGATTCATCCCTTACCTTTAGGTGTACGGAACTGGACGAACTCAGACAAGGGCCCCATGCCTTTGGAATTCCGGGCCTGGATTTTGAAGAAATAGCTTGTATCGAGAGTAAGATCTTGGATCTGGTGGGTCAGTCTGTCTCCCACCACTGGCTCAATCACCCAGTCATGGATCTCTGCACTGATATCTGTGCTGTAATATATGATGTAGCCTGGATCCAGGAAGGAAAGATAATTACACAGAAATATATTTTTAATTCACAAATTCCATTCTCTCTGTGAATAAACTTTTGCATACACCAGGGGATATTGACTACGTTGATAAATGAGTTGAATATCAAACACCTCTTCACTTATTTCAAATATTTCACTCACCATCTATTTAATATATTTAATCTTGTTCCCTTGCTGTACAGTCTGCCCTGTTTCTTTTGTGGGGCAAATGCAATGCCCAACTGTCAATAATTGTTTGAGATTGACATTCAGTTACTGATGAGCTCCAATGTCCATCATGAAATGTGAATCATTATCATAGAATGCCTACAGTGTGGAAACAGGCCATTCGGCCCAACAAGTCCACACCAACCCTCCGAAGAGCGTCCCACCCAGACCCATTCCTCTATCCCTGCATTTTTCCATGTCTAACCCACCTAACCTAAACATTCCTGGGCACTATGGGCAAATTAGCATGGCCAATCCACCTAACCTGCACATTTTTGGACTGTGGGAGGAAACTGGAGCACCCGGAGGCAACCCACACAGACACAGGAAGAACATGCAAACTCCACACAGACAGTTGCCCGAGAGTGGGATTGAACCTGGGCCCCTGGTACTGTGAGGCAGCAGTGCTAACCACTGAGGCACCACGCCATCCTAAGGAACGTTACACCGCCACTCAACACCAATGACCTCGATGTGGGGACATCATCCTCAGCTGCTGCCACAAACTCTGTTCCCTCATCATTCAACCCATTCCTTAGCTACTGCTATGGCTGAATCAAACTGTTTGGCATTCCATATGATTCTTCATTGAACTTCCAAATCCACATCCTACCCATAGTAACCACCTACATCTACTTATAGCTCTACCTGAGATAAATTGCTGCTGAAACCATCTTCCATTTTATTTCCAGGTTGGACTGTTCCAAAGCTTTCTTGTCCAGCATTCCATCTTTCAGACCTCATATCAACATTCTGCGGGCTACAATTTACCAGAAACTCAACTGGAATCACCGTATAAATACTGTGGTTACAAGAGCTGGTCAGAGAATAGGAATCCTGCAGCGAGTAAATCACCTCCCAACTCCCCAAAGCCTGTACACCATCTACAAGGCACAAGTCACAAGTCACAGCTGTGTGATGGAATACTCCCCACTTGCCACTCCCCACGAGTGCAGCTCTAACACTCAGGAAACTTGGCACTACCCAGAACAAAGCAGCCTGCTTTATTGGCACTATATCCACAAGCATCCACTCCCTCCTCTGCCAACACTCGGTACACTAGACACACTGCTGCTACTATCTATAAGATGCACTGCAGAAATTCACCAAGGCTCCTCAGACTATCCAAACCCACGACCACTTCCATCTAGAAGGACAAGAGTAGCAGTTAGATGGAAATACCATCACCGTCAAGTTCCCTCCAAGGCACTCACCATCCTGATTTGGAAACACATCACTGGGTCAAAATCCTGGAATTCCCTCTCCAAGGGCCTTGTGGGGATACCTACACTAAATAGACTGAAGCAGTTCACTGCAGATTCTCAAGGACAACTAGGGATGGGCAATAAATGCCAACCCAGCCAGCGATGCCCACAACCTTTGAAAGAATTAAGAAAAACACTGTGTCTGGTTTATCTAAATAAAACTCTGCTTCCCTTATGCTAGCTTGCACCAAGATCCATTCTGCACCTGCTTGCTTGTTGATCTACAGTGACTCACAGTCCAGCAACTCCAAGCTTAAAATTCTCACCCTTCTATTTAAATCCTTTCATGCTTAGCAACTCCTCCAAGTCCTATAAATACGCTGAAATCCTCTGATCATTGTCTCCAACCTCCCATACATTACTGCCACCTTCAATCCTATCACCGGTAGCGGTACTCTCAGCCATTTAGCTCCCCCAGTCTGGAATTCCCACTCTAAACCTTTTCATTTCCTTCTTTTCTTTAACATCAATCTGTCAAACCCAGCTTCTGGTCACCTCCTTCTTCAGCCCAGCATTCCATTTCTTCCCCCTTTTCACCCATGAAGTATCTCATTTTTCATTTTTATGTGAAAGGTAAGTTGGCATTTCAAACTGGAAACCATGACTGTATGAGCAGCACAAAATCAGATCTGAGATATCATCATTCCAGTGATGCCACAGTCAAAAATAATGAGGTTACCCTGTAGAGACAGGCTGAGGTCCTAAGCTGGGATACCGACTGGGCACAATCAAAATGCTCAGAGCTGATGAGTGAAACTCCATCTCAATTTGCCACCGCTTCCTTTTCTAAATAGTCTCCACGGGCCAGTAATTTTCCCAACAGAGGCACTTCAGTAAGAGAAGACAGAGCATTCACCCACCAACTGCCTTCCATACCTACTACCTGTGGTGCCCTTACTGCCCCACTCTCATGCAGGTTCCTGTGATGGCAGTGACCCAGGTCTGTGTACCTGTTATTTTTCCATTGGCCTCTGATGGAGGTTGCCAGTTGACAATAATGGTCCTTGGTTTTCCTTCCTTGCTCACCACTGTTAGATCCTTGGGAGGAGATGTTGGTACTGAAAGAGAGAGACAGAAATTAAACTTAGTATCCATGGGGTAATTTGGTGTAGTGGTTATGTTGCTGAACTAGTAATTGTAAGAACAGTAGTTCTAATCCCAGACTGGTACTGAGTGTGTTTGGAATCACCTCTAGAAAATTTGAAAATAAGCAGCTGATTAAAAAGTATCAGATTGGCAGCTGGGTCACTAATGGAAATCTGCCTGAATCTAACAGGACTCCAGTCCTACACCAACGTGACCGTCTTTTAACTGCCTTTTGAAATGGCTTAATAATTCATTCACTTGTATCGAAGGTCAGACAATAGATGCTAACAATGCCATTTCAACCCAAGAACCCAAATTAAATTTTAACAATTAAACATGGATTTTAAAAAAAAATTCATTCGCAGGTTATGGGCATCACTGCTTAGGCCAGTATTTATTACTCATCCATAATTGCCCAGAGAGCACTTAAGAGTCAACCACATTGTTGTGGGTCTGGAGTCACATGTAGCCCAGATTAGGTAAGGATCACAGTTTCCTTCCCTAAAGGACATTTGTGAATTAGACGGGTTTTTCCAACAATTGGCAATAGTGTCATGGTCATCATTTGACTCCTAATTCCAGATGTTAATTGAATTCAAATTCCACTATCTGCTATGGCAGGATTTAAACCTGGGTCCCCCAGAACATTATCAGGTCTCTGAATTAACAGTCTACATATAAATCACTAGACCATCACCTGCCCTAAGGGATACTTACTGGTTCTGTTGTATTGACTAAGAGGGTCTATGTTAAACAATATGTGGTCAGATACATCGCTGATCTTAAATGATGCAATTGTTACACTACATCTTTTAACTGATGAGTTATATAACAAACTGTGATAAGACAATGGTGTATCTGTCTGGTGACGTGTCTGCAAGTCCTCCAGCAAGGGGTGACTGGGTACCAGTCAGGGGCAGGAATCCTGGCCAATTAATGCTGTGACTGAGTTCTTGTGACTCAGCCCAGTCCCAGAACTTAGCTTGGACCTAACAGCACAGCACCGTACTTTACACCCTGAGCCATGACAGCACATTTACAAACAGCCCGGCTCAGGAAAGGAACAAAGAATCAGGAATTTCATTAATTCATTCATTCTATCGTTAACCTTTGATCCAGGGCCATACCTGTTTCAAAGGTAGTTCCGTGTGCTGTCATGCTCCAGGTACTTGACCTCCGACCCTTTGTTACCTTCACAGAAAACTCGTACAGTGTGTTTGGTTTCAATCCAGAGACGATATAACTCAATGTGGTGGTGTCTGCAGTCTGAAAAAGAATCAGTATGATATCAGTATCAGATAGAAATGTATACAGTTAGAGGCATCCATCTTTCACTGATATGGGGAATTAACCCCAGAATAATATGGGGAATGAACCCCTCCCCCAAATAACACAAGGAATTAACCCCAAATAATAGTGAATTAATCCCCAAATAATACAGGGAATTAACCCTAAATAATATGGGGAATTAACCCACACCCAATAAAACAGGGAATTAAAGCTCTCCCTATAATCCAGATAATGCAGGGAATTAACATCCTCATGTCCCAGGGAATTAACTACATTTCCCTGCCCACTCAGTCAGTGTATAGTGTTAACATGCAGGAACATGTCTGTGATACTGTAATTATCGCCGAGTTCTATGCAGGCTTGCAAAGGAGCAGAGTGAATACGTACCCAGACTGGTAGACACAGGACTCACCTTGTACTTGGTGTTGGCCGGGTAGTTGGTTTTCCAACGTACTGTGTAGAATCGGGCATCGGTGATCTTTTGGTTCTTGGGTAGCGAGCTATCGGCCCAGGTGACCCGGATGGTATCATGGGTAAGGACAGTAGCCTGAACTCCGACCGGAGGCAGCATGGGACTAGGGTCTGGTACTGGAGTGTATGGATTATTGAAAAGATCAAATATATAAACTTCGGAAGGGTCAAAAGGATCTAAGGGATAAATTAAATAAGAGTAATGTTTGTAAAAAATGGTAAATTATGAATCATGCAAGGAAAAGGGAAAGCAGTCACAGACATTGATTCCACAAGATCCAAACAGCAGGAAGGCATGGAATGGAGAAGAAAGAAACAAAGAAACCAAGATTAGAGCAAGCAGTCCATGTGTTAACTATTTAAAATGAATTAATTTGTGAAACTAGCAAGAAAGCCCTACTTAATAATTAAGTGACAAGTCACACACAGAGATATAAATAGGACATTCAACTTGCAGCTGCAGTTGCACACTGAACATGAGGCAGTAGCAGGTTCCTGTAGACATTCCCCAACATGTGATGCTAAAAGGAAGAGGGAGCTTTGCTCCTGCTTAGAATGGATAGCCTGAGCTACAATGGTCCCCTTCTTCAGTGACCCTCTGCCTTTCCTTCAGGACCAGACAGAATAAATGCAGGAACGATGCTCTTGAGAAAGTCCAGGTCAAGGGTTCACGGTCTAAGGATACGGTTAAACATTAAGGACTGAGATGAGAAGAAATTTCTTCACCCATAGAGTAGTCTGTTTGTGAAATTAGCTACCACAGAAAGCAGTCGAGGCCAAAACACTGCCTGATTTCAAGAAAGAATTGGATATAACAGTTGGGAGTAAAAGTAAATTTACAAGGATGCTGCCAGGACTCAAGGCACTGAGTTATAGGGAGAGGTTGGACAAGCAAGGACCTTTTTCCTTAGAGCATAGGGAGACTGAGTGTATAAGAACATGAGAGGAATGGATAGGGTGAATGCACTCAGTCTTTTTCACAGGTTTGGGGAATTGAGGACTTGAGGGCATCAGTTTAAGGTAAGAGGGGAAAGAATACATGGGAACCTGAGGGGCAACTTTTCTACACAGAGGGTGGTACGTGTATGGAATAAGCTGCCAGCGGAAGTGGTTAAGACAGGTACATTAACAACATTTAAAAGGCATTTGGACGAATACATGAATAGGAAAGGTTTAGAAGGATATGGGCCAAGTGCAGGGAAATGGAATTAGCATAGAGGGACATTTTGGCATGGACCAGTTTGGGTTGAACGGCCTGTCTCTGTGCTGTCGAACTCTATGACTCTATGATTAAAGGATATAAGGGCAAAAGCAGGAATGGGCCATTAAGATAGATGATCAGCCATGATTATAATGAATAGTGGACCAAACTCAAAGGGCCAAATGGCCTACTCTTGCTCCTAGTTTCATGTTTCACCAATTTTCCTCATTCTCCCACTCCATATCCTTCCCACATCCTCCCTCCCTGACTGCAGCCAATTTTCCAACTAGGAGGAGATATTAACTGAGTCACTAATGGACACAAAGATTAACTTTGAAGTCAAAACCCAACAGTCTTTATAAATCAGAGATCGTAAGAACTGCAGTGAGTGATAATGCTGGAGTGAGAGATAACACAGTATGGAGCTGGTGGGGAACACAGCAGGCCAGGATGCAACAGAGGAGCAGGAAAGTTGACCCTTGAAGAAGGGTCCCAACCTGAAACATCAACTTTCCTGCTCCTCTGTTGCTGCCTGGCCTGCAGTGTTCCTCCAGCTCCACACAGTCTTTATAAATCAGACCATGTTTGTTCAAAGTAACTTATACTAAAGGTAATAAACTCTGGGTTCGGTACCAGAGATCATGATACTTCCTTCACCTAATGGTATCCAAACTATTGCTTATTGAAGTAGCCCATTCCTAAACTGTCCATGAACTCTGAACCAACAGCGATTAACCTCCTGAGAGCCAGTGAGAGCTGGAATTCTCCTTCATTATGGACTACGAAGAAATTCATGGGTGGCAAAACTCAAAGAGCAATTCCCAAGCCCATGTCCCAGTAGAAAAGGCTCCCTACAGGAAGGGCATATTCAAACAGCAATACTGGAACTGGGCCTTCTCTCCCAGGAAGGAGGGACTGGCTTTGGCCGACAGCTAACAGCAGTCAATGAAAAACTATCAAAACCACTTTTCCACCTAGAACCAGGTATTAAGATGAGGATTAGATCGTTATTTGTAAAGATGGAGGCAGTCTATGAAACAGCAGAATCTCAGACAGAAAAAGCAGAAATTTGTCATATTTTCCTCTTACCAGTTAGAGGCCTGGTGGCTGTACTCTCATACAGGGGGATTCCTTCTCCATTCCTGTTATATGCTTTAAGTGTGATCACATAGTGCGAGTTGGGCTCTAGAACAAAAGAACAGAATAATTAATGAGCACACCTGTGTGGTAAAAATATTCTCTCATGGGTATCACTGGCAAGGCCATCATTTGGTGCCTACCCCTAATTTCCCTTGAACTGCTGGCTGGGCCATTTCAGAGGCCAGTTAAGAGAAAACCAAATCTCTGTGGATCTGGAGTCTCATGTAGGCCAGACCAGGTAAGGATGATAGATTTCCTTCCCTAAAGGACATTAGTGAGCCAGGTGGGTTTTTATAACAATGCACAATAGTTATCATGATCAGGTTGACTAAGAACAGCCTTCACTTCCAGATTTTATTAATTCAATTCAAACTGCAATAGGTGGGATTCAATCACATGCCCCCGGCGCATTAGTTTGGATTTCTGGTTTACTGATCCAGTGATATTATCACTATGCTACCATCTACCCCAATTATCCGCATCCATATTGGAACTATATTGCCACTCCTTGTTACTGGGTTAAAAACCTAGAACTCCCTTCCAAACAGCATTGTAGGAGTTCCTCCACCCTAAGGCTTGCAGAGACTCAAAGAGACAGCTCACCATCAGTTTCTCAAGCAACCTAAGGGAGGGGCAACAAACACAGGTTTTGCCAGTGATGCCCATGGGAGAATATTTTTATTCCACAGTAGGAATAAAAACAAACTGTGATGATCCACTCTCTCTACGCTCTGTGTGATATTAAATTACATAGACCCTTCCTAAGATTCAAACCTAGTTTATGCTGTGTCGACTAAGCTCAATGGTGGGAGACCTCTCAAAGTTATCAATTAGGACGGGGTGCAGATAACAAGGTTTAAGTCTCCTGTTCCTGATCATTACCCAATGACTACTCCATGAACATGCAGGTGAGGACACATCAATTTCAGTGTGGCGGATTTCACTGTACAACAGCCTCACACACAGAAAGTAAAAATCACCTGCGGACACCATTGATGGACTGCATTGAATCGATAAATCAAAAGAAAGTTGTTCCTTATCCTGATTTAATTATCTATATTTTAACTGCTAGAGAAGAGCTAATGGCTGCAATCACTGTTTAATCATCACCGATGTCTTTGATCACATGGAGCTATACTCCTTCTTACATAAACTCTGATCAGTCCAAAATTCACCACCTACATATTGCACTGCAGTGCATCTTGTTTAGGAAGACCCTGTCTGTACCATCCTTCACTAACTGCTCCAGTGCAATGTTTTCAAAATTCAGCCTACAGATCCATTCTTCGGCTCATTGACGCGTACAGCCTGACATCCCACACTCTAAATCCTTCCAAGTTCTTCCATTCTAATATCCCTCAGTTAGCAGCACAGATTTCAAATGTTGGCATCACCCTTACACCAAAATCCCACATTCTGATCACCCTCACCCCTTCCCCAACATCCAACCAACCCAATTAGGCCCACACATACATGAACTGACACCCTCGCATTGCCAGCACCTTCTGCTACAGTGCAAACAGTGACCATATAGCACTGTGCAGAATCCTCACAACGGCTGTGCAGTCCTGTCACATCCAGTCGCCAATGGTGGTGGACAATTAAACAACTCACTGGAGGAGAAGGCTCCACAAACATCCCCATCCTCAATGATAGAAGAGCCCAGCACAGCAGTGCAAAAGATGAGGCTAAAGCTTTTGCAGCAATCTTCAGCCAGAAGTGCCCAGTGAATGATTCATCTCGGCGGCCTCCAGTGGTCCCCAGCATTACAGATACCAGTCTTCAGCCAATTCGATTCACTCCACGTGATATCAAGAAATAGTTAGAGACACTGGATATTGCAAAGGCTACAGGCGCTGACAATATTCCAGCAATAGTACTGAAGACTTGTGCTCCAGAACGTACCACTCCCCCAGCCAAGCTCTTCCAGGACAGTTACAACACTGATATCTACCTGACAATGTGGAAAATTGCCCAGGTATGTCCTGTGCATATAAAGCAAGTCAAATCCAACCCAGCCAATTATCACCCATTTGTCTACTCTCGATCATCAGTAAAGTGATGGAAGGTGTCATCAAGCTATTACGCAGCGCCTGCTCAAAAATAACCTGCTCAGTGATGCGCAGCTTGGGGCCACTCAGCTCCTGACCTCATTACAGCCTTGGTTCAAACATGGACAAAAGAGCTGAATTCCAGTGGTGAGATGAGAGTGACAGCCCTTGACATCAAGGCTGCATTCGACCGAGTGTGGCATCAAGGAGCCCTAGCAAAACTGGAATCAATGGGTATCGGAGGCAAATGCTCCAGTGGTTGGAGTCATACCTGGCACATAGGAAGATGGTCGTGGTTGTTGCAGGTCAATCATCTCAGCTCCAGGACATCTCTGTCGGAGTTCCTCAGGGTAGTGTCCCAGGAACAACTATCTTCAGCTACTTCATCAATGGCCTTCCCTCCATCATAAGGTCAGAAGTGGGGATGTTCGCCGATGATTGCAAAATGTTCAGCACCATTCGTGATTCCTCAGATACTGAAGCAGTCCATGTTCACATGCAACAAGATCTGGACAATATCCAGGCCTGACAAGTGGCAAGTAACATTCATGCCATACAAATGCCAGGCTACGACCGTCACCAATAAGAGACAATCTAACCACTGCCCCATGGAATTCAACGGTGTTACCATCACTGAATCTCCCACTATCAACATCCTAGGGGTTATAATTGACCAGAAACTCAACTGGACTCACCACATAAACACAGTGGCTACAAGAGCAGGTCAGAAGCTAGAAATACTATGGCGAGTAACTCACCTCCTGACTCCTCAAAGCCTGTCCACCTACAAGGCATAAGTCAGGAGTGTGATGGAATACTCCCCACTTGCCTGGATGAGTGCAGCCCCAACAACACTAAAGAAGCTTGACACCATCCAGGACAAAGCAGCCTGCTTGATGGGCACTACATTCATATGCATCTACTCTCTCCATCTTCGACGCTCAGTAGCAGCAGTGTGTACTATCTACAAGATGCACTGCAAAAATTCACCAAAGATCCTCAGATGGCACCTTCCAAACTCACAAATACTTCCACCTAGAAGGACAAGGGCAGCAGATAGATGGGAACATCACCACCTTCAAGTTCCCCTCCAAGCCACTCATTATCCTGACTTGGAAATACATCACCGTTCCTTACCTGTCGCTGGGGCAAAATCCTGGAATTCCCTCCCAAATGGCACTGTGGGTCAACTTACTACAGGTGGACAGCATTGGTTCACAAAGGCAGCTCACCACCACCTTCTCAAGGGTAACTAGGGACGGGCAATAAATGCTGACAAGCCAGCGACACCCATGTGCCACAAATGAACAAATTAAAAAAAAGGTCTGGTGACACAAGGCCACTTTCCACTTTGTACCTACCACTTCCTACTGTGCAAGAAATTGCGCTTCCTAATTTACTTTGTCTTTTATGCAGTGACCTAGATCAAGAATGTGGATTTGTATTCAACATTAAATGTAACAACAGCATTACCTAACAGTTTGAGATGGATTAAAGACTTGGACATGTTCTTCGGTCACTCTGTAATGTGCCAGTGAGTATGCCTTGGCCCGAGCAGGAGAGCCCCACATACAATGCCCCAGGAGTTGCCCTGATTATTCTGATCATTGTATCCCCTCACTCACCCAGGTTCCCGATGGTATAATAACGTTGCTTATAGTCAACACGAATGGTTTCTGCATGAGGACTGCCAATGCCGTAGCCAATGGTGTAACCTCGCACAACAATGTTCTGATTTTCAGGTGGCGTCCAGCTCACAACAATGTTATTGATCAGAGGTCGAACGTGTAGAGAGCTGGGTTTGTCTGGGACACGGGATTCTGTAAATTACAAAACAATTAAGTCAGCATTGCACTGTAATCAGTCAGTTGCGAACTAACCATCAAGTCACAGAGTCATACAGCACTTCGGTCCAACTCGGCCATTCCAACTAAGTTTCCCAATCTATACTAGTCCCACTTGCCTGTGTCTGGCCCATAATGCCTTTTAAAGTGATCTAAGTATATGTGAGACAGATGGAGACAGCAAATGCTGGAGATAGAAATAGACAGACAGCGGAATACAAAGGCTGAGATAGATGGAGAGGAAAAGAGAAACAAACACATTCTCTCACAGCAAAACACAGAATGGTATTCAAATGTTGAGGAGAGCAAGAAGCAATGTCTTTGATTAATAAAGAATGATTACAAGTATCTGGGAGCAGAAGGGTAGGTGACAATGTTGACCTGCACATTCTATGAAATCACAGTGCACAACACTTTTATCCTGACCAGAGACCAATGGGACATGGGTCTAGATAGCAATGTCCTAATCAGTCACATTCATGTTAGCTGTGGGTCAGTGGGTAGCACTCCCTGATTCACAGGCTTCTTGTGCACTCCAAGTCGCACTCCAAGACTTGAGTGGAAAGAATCAAGGCTGACATTCCAATGGAGTGCTGCACTATTAAAAGTGCCACCTTTCAGATAAAACTCTAAATTGAGGTCCCAAGTAAAGTAGTTCACTTTGGCAGGAAGAATAAAGAAAAGTAGCATATTTCTTAAACAAATGACAAGTGCAGAATTCTGAGATGCAGGGGAATTTAACCGTTGTAGCGCAAGAGTCACAAAACGTTAGCGGGCAGGTACAGCACGTGACTAAGACAAGTAGTGGGTGCCATCCTTAATGACTAGAGATGTTGAACAGAAAGGAAAGGATGCTTCCTCTTGTCAGTGAGTCAAGAACAAGGGGCACAGTTTTAAAATGAAGGGCTACCCTAACAGGACAGCGATGAGGTGATTACTTTTCTCTCAGAGAGTTATGCAAAGTTTGGAACGCTGCCTCAGAAGGTGGTAGAGAGAGGTCAGGTCATGGAATATTTTTAAGGTAGAGGTAGACGGATTCCCCTGCCAACAAGAACTGGAGGGTATTGGGATAGATTAGAATATGGAATTCATAACAGGAAGTTATCAGCCACAATCTTATTGAATAATGGAAAAGGCTAGAAGGGCAGAATGGTCTACTCCTGTTCATATATTGTAAGGGATTACACTTCAAAAAGTATTTTTTACTGACTTAAGCAGGTTCCTTCATCTGGTAGTCATGAGAAAGTCTACATAAATGTTCCCTCTCTCTCACAGAGCCACAGAATGGTCACAGCATAGAAAGAGGCCATTCAGCCCTTCATATCTATACTGGTTCACCATGGCAGCAATTTACATTGTGCCACTCCCTGGTCTTCACCGTGTAACCCTGCATGTTCTTCCTTTTCAAACAGCTGTATAATAGGCTTTTAAAATCCTGGATTGAATCTGCCTCCACCACATTTTCAGGCAGTGCATTCCAGATCCTAACCATTCGATGTGTGAAGAACTTCATCATAGTGCCATTGCTTCTTTTGTAAATTATCGTAAAGCTGTGCCCTCTGGTTCTCAATCCTGCCACCAATGAGAAAGACAGTTCCCCTACTGACTCTGTGCATAATGATCATTGTAATTTTAGTAAAGAGCAGGAGTAGTCTGCTCTGCCTCCCACCCCAACCAGGGTAGATCCTCCACCCTAAAGCCATCTCCCTGCACAAATCCCACACCCTATGACACCATGATATCTCGAAATCTGTTGATCTTGGTCTTGAACACTCTAAAGGAACATCAGAAAAAGCTGCCCTGGAGCAATATAGAGAGATATGAGTGGTGCAGTTCAACAAAGTTTGGAATAAGAAATGGGTTTCGAGGAGTCCTCTATTTCTGTAACAAATGGAGTTTGGTGAGGCAATGTAAACATATCTTTACTCTGTATCTAATCCCGTGCTGTTCCTGTCCTGGGAGTGTTTGATGGAGACAGTGTAGAGAGAGCTTTACTCTGTATCTAACCTGTGCTGTCCCTGTCCCTGGGAGTGTTTGATGGGGGATAGTGTAGAGGAAGCTTTACTCTGTATATAACCCTGTGCTGTCCCTGCCCCTGGGAGTGTTTGATGGAGACAGTGTAGAGGCAGCTTTACTCTGTATCTAACCCCGTGCTGTCCCTGTCCCAGGAGTGTTTGATGAGGGACAGTGTAGAAGAAGCTTTACTGTTTATCTAACCCCATGCTGTCCCTGTGCTTAGAGTGTTTTGATCCAGTCACTGCCCAAAACAGAGACATTCGTTTTCTACTCCCAATATCCATAACAGAAGTTTACCTTTCTGAATTGTACAATAAATGTGAGATGTTGCTGCTTACTTAAGTATTAACTATATTTAAGATGCATTTATTTTAAGACTAAACCAGAAACAAAGATTTAATCTGAAAACATACCGTATCAACTGTTCTAAAGAAGAGTCACTGGATTGGAAACATTAACTCTGCTTTCTCGCCATAGATGTTGCAAGACCTGCTGAGTTTCTCCAGCTATTTCTGCTTTGGTATCTACCGTTCTTTGATTATAATTTGATCCTTACCATCCAGGTCACTTTCAAATGTTTCTGCAGACACCCAGTCAGAAGCTGGCCCTGTTCCATTCACTGTAGTGGCAGAGACTCGGAAGCTGTACTCAGTGTTTCGCTCCAATCCTGCGACACAACACAAGAGATAAAACTAAATATATTCAAGTTCCCTTAAGGCTATGTCACAGTGACCTACAAACATCTTGCCCAACAATCCTCGACACAGTCAATAGAGGGCGGTAGGATCTCAGCAATTCAATAAATCAATTTAAGCTCCTAGCAATGAGATTTAACACTTTAAACTTTGTTTTTCTGCAAAGACCGAGAGTTGGGAAATCATGGGATCTGTCCAGTCTTACAACTTTAATATTTGCCTCAGGCTGACTAGCAGAGCCCCTCAGACTGAACCAAATCAAACAGAGGGAACCAAGCTGAATTTAAACACAAATGATGTCAACAGAATGTCTGCAACAGATAAACCCACTCAACCACTCCACAAATACCTCAAACCCACCCCAAACTCCAAGGTCACGCAAAACATTAATTCTGCTTCACTCTCTGCAAATGTTGTCAGACCTGTTGAGTTTTACCAGCATTTTCTGTGATTATTTCCTGTTTCCAGCATCAGCAGTGTTTGCTTTTATATGAAATGAGAGCATTATAAAGGAGACTTGTGCCTGATCTAACCTAGTTCTGTCCACACTTTGTGGATGGACAGCCATCAGAAGTAGGAACTCAACCTCGAACGAAGCTAGGCTGAGAGATAGAGTATAAAGACAGCAGCCTATAATTTCCCTAAAGCTGACGGGGTGCTTGGTTCGTTGGGGATGGGGTGAGGTTGCAAAATCCTTCCTGGTTCACATGAGTCAATACTAGAGCAGTCTCGAGATGGGCCCACTCACTGACTGGAAATGTACACCTGCCTACTCACATAAAAGGCATTACACTGGAGTATCGCCTTACACCTCTGAAAAGTAATCGCAGGAAACAGGTTAGGCACAGGACAGACTCACCATCTATTATCTGAGAAAGCTGGCTCCCTCCTGTGGTGTCAGTCTCACCACGCCGACCACCTTTTTTGTACCGAATGTTGTAACCAGTGATCACTCCATTGTGGGTTCCTGGAGGCGGTGGCTGCCAGTGTACCACAATGCTCTGGAGAAAGATAACGCAGAAGACAAATAGTAACTAGAATAATCTCACCACCTCAGCTACCAAATACTACAATACTGGTGCTCAGCAGGCAAAATTACAGACAGGTTACGCTAGACATGTATTCACTCTAGTACAGATGTTTAAGGAGCGATCTAGTGCATGGAATTGAAAGGAGTGAGAGAGAGAAACAATTTATTTGTGGGAGGGGTGTCACGGATGAGAAACAGAAGGAAAGAGAGTGTTACCATGAGCACGTGAGAGTAAGAGATTGTGACTGAATCTGAGCATGCGAAAGGTGAGCATGACAGAGCAGGCACATACGCGGGAGGAGGGAGGGAGAGCGTGCACGTACGGGAGGGAGGGAGAGCGTGCGCACACACGGGGGAGGGTGGGGACAGCACAGACATGACACAGTGAGTGTAGGTGTAGACGTGAGGGAGCAAGTATGGGTGTGTGTGGACGTGAGGGAGCAAGTATTGGTGTGTATGGACGTGAGCGAGCGTGGGTGTGAGTGGATGTGAGTGAATGTGGGTGAGTGTGAGTGGATGTGAGTGAATGTGGGTGAGTGTTGGTCCGGATATGAGCGAATGTGACCTGGGTGGGAGTCAGTATGAGGGATGTTGTGAGTATGAATGTGGGAGAAAGACTTTAGAACAAGGAGGTGTCTCTTTAAAACTAGCCAGACAGTTTAGGAGTGACATCAGGCATCACTTCTTGTTCTTGTTGTTAAAAGACACTCACCTTGGAGTTGCGAACTTCCAGCGTGACATTCTGAGGGGGTGCACTGGGAACTGAAACACACAATAGGGCCAGTTTGTCAGAGAGTGAGTAAAAAACATACATACACAACTTGTCACACATTCAACAGCAAGGGGAAAACATGATCGAGTGACACACATCAGCCACCAGCACTCACCATCAGAATAGGTTGTTGCTTCTACGTCCTCAGTGGAGACTCCTGGTCCATGCTTGTTGTAAGCCACTACCCGGAAACTGTACTCAGTGAACTTCTTCAGTCCATTCATGGTATAGGAAAGACTCCCAACGTCTACATCCTGCAGCAACAACCAGGAGAGGAATCACAAACAGTTCAATTTGTTTATTAATTATTTGCAATATGTTTTCCCAGCAGCTCAAGAGGTTAAAAGATAGTCAGTATCTGATTCATTCCTTACAAAGATGCTGAGCAGGCACAGGCTGTTGTAATTCTGTAAGTGACAAGGCTCCACATCCTTAAATAACAAAGTGTGTAAGTCGAGGAGAGAAGACCAAACAATAGATGATTAGCTCAGGAACGAACCCACTTGCACTGTTCAAAGCAGTCAGGGATTGATGGTTAAAAACAGTGATTAAAAAAAACTGGTATAAACACAGAAAATGCTGGAAATACTCAGCAAGTCTAGCAGCATCCAGAGAGAGAGAGAAGTAGAGTTCACGTTTCAGGACAATGACCTTTCTATGAAAACCAGTCCCATTTTCTAACGATATCTGCTTTCTGACAAACGCTGCACCTTCCTCACAACTTTCCCATCCCGTAGTTCACAAGAATAGAACAGAAATGCAGGCTGGAATTCTCAGGGAGGTTTGGAAATGGATTGGGAGGTGAGCAGCTTGAAGCAAGTTTAGGGGAAAAGATTTGGTGAGGGGAGGGCAGAACCCATGGTGTTACTGCTGCTGCTGTGTCATTTGGGCTGGCAGTAGGAAGATGGCTGGTCAGCTGCTGATTAGAAATCCATTTCAGCCATTGACCCAGCCAATTAAGGGCCATTACCTGATCCTGCAGCAATTTGCCCATATCAGGAGGGCCCAGTTTGGAGTGGTTTGGTGTCCCACCCTCCCAGTGTGATATGATAATCCTGGGAAAATGCCAGCCCATGTCCTGTCACCTTCTGAAACGGGATTGTGTCCACAAGAGGGCTCAGCCACTGGCCTCTACATAAAGTTCTGCCAACACAAGAAGGAAAGGTCGCTGAGTCAAAGAGAACGCAATCCTCCAGTACCTGAACTCGCCCATCTCACATCTTTTGTGTGTTGTAATCATTAGCCTAACAAAATTCTTCACAACAACACCAGCACTTGGGTCATTTTGTACAAGTAACCTGTGTAAAGTCACTTCACAACAGCAAAGGGAGGAGTACAGTTTTGGAGAAAAGCCTCATATCACTGGTACAGAGTAAGCTGGCTGCAGTTCATGAATACGACAATTCCGTAGTTGAAAAATTGATATAAAGATTATGAGTTCTTAAACAATAACAGATCCAGAGACAGGTATGAATCTGTGCATGACTATACCCTGAAGACAACGTATAGTGGAGTAGCTGAAATGCTTGGATTTAATTATTCTAACACAAGTTACAGTGGTTTAACCTCAACATCCTCAAGGGAAAAAATCCAGTAACTCAGCTACATTCTTTGCGTTTTACATTGGCATCTCCTTAGTCAGTAGCTCCTCACTCACTACTTCCTCCTCAGGTTCAAACCTTTTTCTTACATTGAGGGGTGGGAACCAGAGCAGGAGATGAGTAATTGAAATGACCAAGGAGGAGTCAGAGACTAAGGCCAGGAAAGCTAAGAGGAAGGACAGAGCGGGGAGAGGTTACTGAACATGGCAGACTGGAGGTCAAAAGTGTATTTGTTTTAATGCAAGGAGTATGATAGGTAGGGCAGATGAACTTAGAGCTTGGATTAGTATATATAACTACTAGCTATTACTGAGACTTGGTTGAGAGAGGGACAAAACTGGCAGCTTAATGTTCCAAGATTTAGATGTTTCAGGCGAGATAGAGTGGGATGTAAAAGAGCTGGGGGAAATGAGTTACTGATTAGGGAGAATAGAGCAATACTGAGAGAGGACTTGGAGGGCTCATAAAGTGAGGCCTAAATGGGTGCAGCTCAGGAATAGAAAGGGTGTAATTACTTCAATGTGTTTATATTACAGTCCTCCCAACAGCCAGCAGGAGAACGGGAAAAGATATGTGAACAGACAGATTGTCGAAAAATGTAAAAAAAACAGGGTTGTTGTGGTGGGTGATTTTAACTTCTTCTATATTGACTGGGACTCCTTTAGCGCCAGAAGCTTGGACTGGGGGGACTTTGTTCAGTGGGTCCAGGAGGGTTTCTTGATGTACTACGTAAATAGTCCAACAGGGAAGGCCTAGTATTGAGGAATGAGCTTGGCCAGGTGATCAAAGTTTCAGTGGGGGAGAATTTCCGGAACAGTGACTATAATTCTGTAAGTTTTAAGTTACTTATGGAAAAGAGTAGTCCCTAGTTCCACCCCTATTCTAATTCATTCTTTGTCATATTCTACAGAATCACTTTTCTTTCTCCAAGAACCCAGATGCCTTAAACACCCAATCTTGATGCTAACTAACTGTTGCTGTCTAAATTTCCTGGGCTTCCTAATGCTGATGGTCCCAGTGAAATTTTCCGTCAGAGGGAATGGCCTGGATGATTTTCTCACCTGTTCACCATCTGCCCCTTTCTCCATGTAATAAAGTTTGTAGTTTACAATCGGCCCATTGGCTGAGTGAGGCTCCTGCCATGTGACTGTGATCGAGGTCGGTGAGTTTGCTTGTGCAACCAGATTCTGAGCTGGTCCTGGCACTTGAACTGAAAAACAAAGACAGTGTCTGTTTTCAGATTTTAACAAAGGGAATCCACAAGCAGTGAAATGATCAACAAAGTAACCAAACTGCCCTCCAGTTCTGTTTCCACTCCTTCCAGGAAGTACACTGGAGATGATTTCAGCATTTACATATTTGCAAAGGACAGGCACACTTGACCATGAATTAACCTCTTGAGCAATGTCTAGCAATACGTCACTATACAGTCACTACTGCTTTAGTGTGAGTGAGTGAAAGAAATGAAAAATGAAAGAGTGAGCAAGGAAATGGCTATGTGTGTACTCAAGTATGAAACAGGCAGTGAGTGTTGGTAGTTGATATCTCTTGCTCATATAGTGCTGGGTGCCAGTGAGAGGAAGCAGGGAGAACAGTGAAGGGGGTTTGGGCATACAGTTAAAATGGAGCAAAAATTAGAAGCAGCATTTAAAAAGGCAGTTCTGAAGGGTTCTGAAGAAGCATCACTGAACTTGAAATGTTAACTCTACTTTCTTTCCACGGATGCCACCAGACCTGCTAAGTTTCTCCAGCAATTTCTATTTCTTATTATTATATTTTGAAAAGGCATCTGCATAGGTAAGAGGTTAGGCAATAGCTATGGAAATACACTTCCAATCAGAGACTGGATTGGTTAGCAATTTTACAGGATCAGAATGGGATACTCATGCTTGAGAAATGAATCATGAACTATGCAAACTGATCACATTATGACAACAGCCCCTTGTCACTAGTGCCAGTGACTACAATGTGACAGGTTTAAGTCGTTACAATGTAGACACAGAAATTCATTATGAAAATAACTCAAAAAGAATTGTGAAATGTTTACAATAGAAACAGAAATGAACTGAAGCTGCATGTGCATACAGAGTGATTGGATTAGACAAAAAATGTCTAACAAAATGGTGAATCCAAAGCTAGAACACAAGGGCAGCCAGCTTCTGTCAAGATGGTAGATGGGGTACATCAATTGGCCTCAGTCCCCCTGATATAAAGAGGGGAAATGGATCACCAATGTACCTTACTCCAAAGTTGGGGAAACAGTTATCAGCTTGTGGCTAGAAAGTACACTGGCACAGACTGGCTGTGATGGGTTTAGGGCTGGAAAGGACGCTGGCAGAGACTGGCTGTGATAAGCTTATGGCTGGAAAGTACACTGGCACAGACTGGCTGTGATGGGCTTATGGCTGGAAAGTACACTGGCACAGACTGGCTGTGATGGGTTTAGGGCTGGTATACACTGGCTGTGGACAGAACCTGCTTTTACACCCAGGCTGCCCCAGCCAACATTTACTGCCAGGATCTCCCCAGAAGAAATGGCCAATCAAGTAAAAAGTGGATATGGTGAATTATCATTACCATTGAGAGTGTTTTCAGGAGAAACCTTTTATTTGTAACATTGGAATCATAGAATCCCTACAGTGTGGAAGCAGGCCACTTGGCCCATTGAGGCCACACCGACCCTCCGAAGAGGATCCTACCAAGACCCACCCTATAATTCCTATGGCTAACCCATCCAGCTTGCACATATGGGCAATTTAGAATGGCCAATCCACCTAACTTTCACATCTTTGGACTGTGGGAAGAAACCAGAACTCTCAGAGAAACCCATGCAGACGTGGGGAGAACTCCACACAGACAGTTGCCCGGGTCCCTGGCGCTATGAGGCAGCTGCGCTAACCACTGAGCCACTGTGTCACCTTAACCTTCTCAAAACAAAAACTGAATAACCTCAACTTTAACCATCACCTTGCAGGGAGATTTATAGAAAGTTGAATATTCATCACATGGAGCATCAACTGAAAAACATTGAATAGTTGGTCTGGAGTGTACGGCAAATGTAACAGCTACCAAATTAACAACTGACTTGCACAGAATCCTAGCTGTTGTCATGTTAAACCAGTGTATACTGACACAGCTATCTTGCTCTGTAATGGATCAACAGAATATCTCTGTTTCCCAAGCCTTTTTAAGTTCCAACATCCAATTATAAAGTGCCTTTTACATAGCAAGATATTCCAAGGCATTTCACAGAAGCAACATCAGACAAAAGACCAAACCACGTAAAGTATTGGACACAAGGCCAAATGCTTGGTGAGAAGGAGATTTTAAGGAGCATCTTAGAGGAGGAGAAAGAGAAATAAAGGGGTGGGGAATTTATGGGAAGAATTCCAGAACTCAGGGCACAGGCAGCTGAAGATACAGTCACCAATAGCTGGGTGAAGGTAGATAACGTAGAGGTGGATATTGGGCTCCTGAGAGTGTTAGAAGCTGGAGCAGTGAACTTGAAGAATGCATTGTGGAGGTGAATATGTACAATGGAGAAATATAAAGATCACATGAAATGTAAGCAGAGGTAGACCATTCAGCCCATCAAGCCTGTTCAACCATTTGCTAAGATCGTGGCTGGTCTCTCTGTGTTTCGAATTCCACATTTCCAGACTCTCACTATCACCTTTGACTCTCTTGCCCAACAAGAATTTACCTAACTTTGTTTTAAAAATATTCAATGACTCCATCTCCACCACCTTCCGAGGCAGAATGTTTCAAATTCGCACAGCCCCGAGAAAATAAAACCCTCACCACCGTCCCGAAAGGCAAATGCTAGTTTTAACACAATGTTCCTTAGTTCTGGAGTCACCAACAAGAAATATCCTTTCCAGTTCCAGCATGTCAAGATCATTCAGAACACACTCTTTTAAACTCCAGTGAAAACAAACCCAGCCTGTCCAATCTTTCCTCATAATATAACCCACTCATACCAGGTATTAATCGAGCAAACCTCCTCTCAACCACCTCCAATGCATTTACATCATTTGTTTCAAGAAGACAAGTGAAACTGCACACAGTATTTGAAATATGATCTCACAAATGCCCCCCTGTATAACTGAAGCATAACATCCTTATTCTTATGTTCAATTCCTCTCTATCCTTGTCCTTATTTACATGCAAGTCTGAAATTGACAATGTGTCAAGAAGCTCCCTCAGTATCCTCAAGGCAGGACAGCACATCATCTGGCACTGTACTGGGACAGCAACAGGTCTCTAAGTTCCTGGGTTTGGGAGAGGATATCAGTCAAGAGTGGAGTGATCACAATCCTGTGTCAGTGTTGGTCAGGAACCAAATGCTGGTGTTGGTCTCAGCATTGGGTGGAAAAGCCCGGATCCAGACCAAAAGCAAAGCACTTAACAAGAACTGTAAAGCTGAACTCTTAACTTTATTTCTTTATTTTCTACCTTTATATTCCAAGTCTTGGTTTATTTTCTGTGTTGTAAGATGGCATTGGAGAGTGGCAACATTATACATTACTTCCCGTGGATCATTGCTGGGTCCCCCTTTGTTTCTCATTTATTTAATTGATTTAGATGAGAATATAGAAGGCATAGTTAGTAAGTTTGCAGATGATACTAAAATTGGTTGTATAATGGACAGTGAAGGTTATTTAAGATTACAAAGAGTTCTTGGTCAATTGGGTCAATGCGCTGAAGACTGGCAAATGGAGTTTAACTTGGATAAATATGAGATATTGCATTTTGGTAAAACAAACAAGGGCAGGACTTATACAATTAAAAGAACAGAGAGACCTAGGGGTTCAGGCACATATTTCTTTGAAGTTTGCATCACATATAGATAGAGTGGTTAAGAAGGTGTTAGCATGCTTGCCTCCATTGCTCAGACGTTTGAGGAAAGGAGTTGAGACATTATGTTGAGGTTGTACAGGATGTTGGTGAGGCCTCTTCTGGAGAAGTGTATCCAGCTCTGGTCGTCCTGCTATAAGATGGATATTATTAAGCTGGAGAGGGTTCAGAAGAGATTTACCAAGATGTTGCTGGGAATGGATGGTTTGAGTTATATGGAGAGGCTGGATAGGCTGAGACATTTTACACTGGACTGTAACATGTGGAGGGATAACTTTATAGAGGTTTATAAAATCATGAGGGATACAGATAATGTGAATTGACAGGTGGCGTTTCCCTAGGGTGGGTGATTTCAAGTCTAGGGGGTATATTTTTAAAGTGAAAGGAAGCAGATTTAAAAAAGAATGAGGGACAATTTTTTTTAAATGCAAAGAGTGGTTCTTGTGCGGAATGAACTTCCAGAGGAAATGGCGGATGTAGGCACAGTTACAACATTTAAAAGACATTTAGATAAGTTCATGAATATAAAATGTCTAGAGGGATATGGGACAAGCAAAGGAAGGTGGGACTAGATTAGTTTGGAATTATGGTCAGTATGGACTGGTTGGACCGTAGGGTCTGTTTCCATGCTGTATGACTATGATTCTATACAATGCTTTTCACTGTATTTGTGACAAATACATGTAACAAGTACACATGAAAATAAATAAATCAAATCAAATCTTGTAATAAATAGCATTCCATCATCTTTCTTAAATCATCTGCTGTACCTGCATCCTAATTTTTTATGACTCATGCACAAGAACACCTAAATCCTCCTGCGTCACAGACTTCTGCATTGTTCCCCATTTCAATAAAATTCTGCACGCTTTTCTGCTGAAGTGAACTCCTTTACCCTTTCCAACGTTACATTTCAATTGTTAAATTTATCAACCGACTATATCTGTCTGCAACTTCCTTAGATCTTCTTCACAACATATTTTCCTACATATTTGGTATGGTCTGCAAATTCAGCTACCACACGTTCATTTCCCTCATCCAAGTCATTGATGCAAATTGTAAAAGTTGAGGCACCAACACAGTCCCCTGCAGGTCTCTACTCATCACATCCTGCCAATGAGAAAAAGACCTGTTTATATATAATCTCTGTTTTCTGCGAGTCATCTATTCTCCTATCCATGCTAATATGTAACCCCTACGCCATGAGATTTCATTGTCCACAATAACATTTGATGGGGCACCTTATCAAATGCCTCCTGGAAATCCAAAAATGGAACATCTCAAGGCTCCGTTATACCCACTGCACCATTACCCACTGCTTCAAAGAACCCTAATACATTCACACTTCCCATTTACCTCCCGCGATTTTCTAAATGTATAATTATAATCTCTTTAATGATCAATTCTAACACTTCCTCATGACAGACTACAGGTTCACAGGGCCATAGATCCCTGCTTTCTGCCTCCATCCATTCTTGAACAGCAGCATTATATTTGCTCCTGCCTAGTCTGTCTAAGCTTTATCTGAATCTAAAGAATTTTGAAAAATTAACAACAATGGCATCTCCTACCTCATTAACCACCCCTTTCAAGACCCTAGGATGAAGTCCATCAGGACCCAGAGACTTGTCAGCTCACAGCTCCATCAGTTTGCTTAGCAATGTGTCCCACATAACATAATTTGGTAAGGTCCTCTCTCACTTCCACCTCCTGTTTACAGCTATGACTGGAATGTTTTTTTGTATCCTTTACAGTGAAGACAGAAGCAAAATATGTGTTCATTTATTATCATTGCCTTATTTTCTCCTATTAACTCCCCATTCCCATTCTCTAGACAGTGAACACTCACTTTACTTACTCTTTTTTTTTTAAACACCTGTAGAAACTCTGGGTATCTGCTTTTACTTTCCTAGCTAACTTCCTCTCATATCAACAACACCTCTTTGCAGCACGGCTGCACACTGACTGAAGTCACTATCATGCATGGACTCCAGAGGAAGGAAGAAATAATTACAGAGAATGTAGCTGTGTTCTAATTTCTTCCTGATTAATCTTTCAGTCATTCTCTGCCATTCTTTATATTTTGACCAATCATCTGACCTGCACTTTGCTTTCACGGTTATATGCCTTTTTCTTACATTCGATGCTTTCCCTAACTTCTTCAGTTAACCACTGATGGTGGATAATATTCAATCAAATTGTGATCACTGTTACCTAGGTGTGCCTTCACTCTGCGGTCATTAATTAATTCTATTACATGACACAATACAAAGACTAGTATAATTTGTTGCTGGGTCAGTTCCAGAGCATGCTGCTCGAAGAAACTCTCTCTAAAGCATTCTAACTCTTCATCCAGGCTATTACTGCCAATCTGATTTTTCCAGTTTACACATAGATTAAAGTCACACATAAATATTGCAGTCCCTTTATCTCAAGCACCCAATATTACTTGCTGTATACTTTGTCCAACATTTTGGTTACTGTTCGAGGGTCTGTACTTCCACCTCCACTGGTGACTTCTTTCCCCTACCATTCCTCACGTCAACCCAAACTGATTCTGCATCCTCATTTCCTGTACAAACGTCACCTTAAACAATGTCATCCTTGATTTATTGTCCCTCCAACTTTACCTATCTTCTTACTTTTCTTAAATATTGTATACCTTTCAATATTCAGGACCCATTCCCGTTATCCTGAAGCCATGTCTCTGTAATAGCTATCATAGCCATTTATTTACTCACTTCAATTGATACTTCATAATGAATGCTATGTGCGCTCAGATACAGAGTCTTAAGTTTCGTCTTTTTGTGATTTTTGTAACATGTAGTTTTGATTGTTGGTGTATATTTAAGTTTTACTCTCACTGTCCCTTCCTACCATTATCTGACCCTCATTTCCCATACTACTATTTTCCTAATGGTCCTCAGCTCACCCACTCCTCTAGGTCATGCTGTCTCCTTGTCTCAGGGTCCTCCTCTGACCTGTTGCTCTATAATGTGGATGTGCATAGGTGATATCAAGATTTGTCCAGAAGGGACTGGCTTTTAGGACTAAAGGCATGTTTCTGATCCTTGCTCTTTTACTGGAAATTAGAAATTATTTTCAATATTGAAATCAGGTCTACAGAACATAAGTGCTTGATGTGTAAACTCAATCTAGGTTATCACAAGGTCACATATGCAAGAAACAAAGGAATATATTTCTAAATCAGATTTATTGCTTTTCTTTATGGCTCATTGCCAACCTGAAGGATTGTCCGTGCCTTTGCTTGACCTCAGAGTGAAGCTACAAATAGGTACCTCCGTGTATCCTCTGCACAAAGGAACATTAGTAAATTCAACCACTCTGCAGAAGTGGGAAAGAAAATGAAATTCAAACTATCATGTCTGCACTGAACACAATGATGAAAATGTTTAATTAACAATGCTTACTGGTGCAAAAAAAAATCAAACCAACTTGGACAAGCCTGACAGTTGTTTGCTTTATTCAGTCATGACCCATTTCTTTCAATTAGTGCCGCAACACCGATTGGCATCACAGCCAGCAGCTGCATGCCAACACAGCCTGCACACACACCTGCAGCCTCACCACACTGAACATGCCTTCACACACCTTCACTCTCTTAAAAAGGGACACAGATAACTGCTACATTCCTGCCACACATATACTGGAAGCAGTTCTTGCCTGCTCAGTGCAACTACTGTGAAGAATACAATAATAAACACACAGTAATTCTCTCTTTCCCCATGAAGCAGTGACTCTAAATAGGATAACCTCAGGAGTGTTGGCCACCCTGGAACTTCACCCACACAGCGACTCTCCAATTTCAAGGTGAAATAGAAGCATCAATGGGCTATTTGTCAATGTGGACTGAGCGCACCTTCTGCTCACGCGACATGTACACAAGTGTACTTTCAGCAGAGATTGTTGCAAAACACTCCAGGGGAAGTAGTCACAACTTCATTAACCCAATTTACTGCTGTCAATCTAAGTTCAATATTGAGGGTGTAGGGTATCAGATAGTTCAGTTGGCTGGACGGCTGGTTTGCTATGAGAGCAATGTCACAGCCTGTGTTCAATTCCTGCACTGGCTGAGGTCACCATGAAGGTCCTGCCTTCCCAACCTCACCCCTTGCTTGAGGTGTGGTGACCCTCTGGCTAACTCACCACCAGTTATCTATCTCTAATGAGGGCAGCTCTGTGGGCCTTTGGCAACTTTACCTTTACCAGAGGGAGTGCCACACTGATGAAGGTCAGTGCTGAGGAAGTGCTTCAATGTTGCAGTCGACGCTTACTTAACAATAACGATAAGTAATTCATTAGCTTGAAGTATTTGGAAACGTCTTCAATGTGTAATGGATAGTTTTAATGAATACAGTTTCCTTCTATACAGGAGCAAATCTTCTTAGATCGGAGGTGGGTACCTCGTGTAAATCTTAAATTCCATTCATTACCATCCTGCTGCCAATATCATATCATCTTCTCATTGAGCATTTATCCAGCAATGAGGCAAAAGTGCGAAACTGTGCCTCTCTGAAATTTCAACCCCACCTAATCTAAATAGCAAGCCTGGGAGTGAGGAATAGAAACCCAAAGAAAACAGATTTTGAGAGTCAGATTAATCACAATGGCTCAAATGCACTGAAGGTCAGACATCTCTGTTCTATCTACAATTGTACTTCTTAAAAAAATTCCAGAAATGGAAAATTAGAAATGAAAACCTCAGGTCACCATTGCCTTCTTCAGGGTAATCAGGGATGGGCAATAAGTGCTGACAGAACCAGCAACACCCACATCCCTCAAACAAATTTTGAAAAACTCCAAAAGTTTGGATTAAAAGAAACTTTGCATAGATTATTGAGTAAAGAAATAAAATCTGCCAGACCTGAATGTACTCAGCACACCTAAAGCTGTTTCAGCTCGAGAAAATGACAGGCCTGAGACTTCATGTGATTTCTAACATTGTGTTTTACCCAAAAAGCTGTTATTTTCCTTTCAGAAGCTGAGTGCACTGCAACGTTTCCAACATTTTATGTTTTTAAATTTTGGAATACAGAATTAAACAAATTGCTGTGGATGCAACTCTGGAATAGAGAATTGTTTAATAGTCTGTTGAAGATCATAGCAAGTTCCAGGAACTCACAACTCAATGAAACAGTGAGGCTGTGGCCACTAGAGACTGTAGCCAGCTACATAGTCCTGATCCTGATCTCTGTAATATACAGCCAGTGGAACTCTCATGGAAAAGCTGTCCTATTTCCTTGCACTCATTTCTAGCCCGTTGAAGCCAGGTAATTTTTAGAGTACTAAAACAACTGGTTCTAAAAAAATTCCACATAAATAAATTCCAGTTTCTCCCTCACCAGAGAATGAAAACTAACCATTTCCTTGCCATGTATATGCAGGTTTAACACAATGTGGGCAGAGTGTAGGCTGCCCGAGACAAATGCAGAGCATCACAAGGTTAAAACGTGGGCACAAAATACTGAGCCACACAATCCACGGAGGCAGCTTCAGTTCCTTGGCCATGACAACTGGCTGTTCTGAGCCAGGGCATCAGTCACAGCGATACCTTCAGTCACCAATGGAGGGAATAAACCAGTCAGGGATTCCTGCTTCTGTGTAGACATCAGGTCAAGATATGGGAGTCAATTCTTAGCCTCACATCATCCTGATGACACACAGGCTTACACAGGAAAAAATGGTGACTTGTCCAAATACCAAAGGGGGTCAGATCATGCAGAACTGTAGCTGCTGCTCAAGGCAAAACTGAAAATAGTAACAATAATGTGGCCTGGGTTAGAGCCAGGTTTCTATGCTAGAACAGAAGTTACAGTGCACGACAAGCATATATACAAAGATGATCACCGCGGAGGTATAGAGGTATTGATGGATCACAAGGACTGACCTTCAGGCTGGGTGGCCACTTTGAAAGGACTAGAACTGTCTCCTGCTCCATGCTTATTGTGAGCAACCACTCGGAAAACATACTTCACATCTGGCATCAAGTCACCAATTGTCACTTCCAAGTCTCCAGGTCGACTTGTATTTTCCACACGTTCCCTATTAAAGATAATAACAACCATTTCAGCACAATTCACCCAATTGGAACTGATAACGTCTCTACGATACTTGCTGCTCCACACATCTTACGGATCAGGAGGTAAGGACAACACAGCTGTCTTTATTGCATTAGGGCAGTGTCGAGTTACCTCACTCAGCTCTCTCAATGGCCGAGTGGGAAAGAAGAGCCACTGATACGGCAATATTTCGCTTCATCTGGTGTGAGTGTGCTTACCTTATATACTTAGAGTTAATGCAATCATACCCCTAGACCAGGGATGTAAAAGCAGTGGGGATTTCGAATCCTGATCATTATTCATGAGCCCTGCATGGGAATGTGATCTGTGAACCTGAGACAAGGACAAGGTTGGAACATGGTGGCCTCCCTTAGCCAGGTATTTCCCAACACACTGTCTAAATGCACAGAAAAAAACGGCACTTGGACAAGAGAGTTGGAGGATGGTGGAGCAAGAGTTTTTAATAAACATAACAGCGAAAAGAAGATCCCAAAATTGTAATGATCCCCAACATGTGAAGGAAGAGACTAAAGAATGTAGGTACACTGATGACTGTACAAACAACCATATGCTGTTTTCTACATTATGGATCAGAAAACAGGGACGTTGAAACATAAAAGCCACAGAAAACAAACAGGCTATTAGGTTTTCCATAAAAAGACAGGGGATCAGTATTAAGTTTGAGCAAGATTTGTTTGAGGCATAATCAGAGACTATATTCCAGGCACCCCATTATAGGAAGGGTAAACAAACTGGGGCAAGACATAACAAAAATTCACTAGAATGACACTAGGGATAAATGGAGATAGATAAATTTGGCATAATTTTCACTAAGACAACAAAAGTTAAGGAAGGCCATAATAAATTAAGGAAGAGGAATAATGAAACCTTATTTTCAATGCTTAGTAAACCAGGATTATTATTAGAATAAGGGACAGGATAGAAATAATGAGACAGAGGTTAGAGATGAATTTAAAAGTGTAAGAGGTATTTGAAAGGAGAGAATAGAACAGACGGTGGTAGCAGAGAAATGGGATTACAGCAAACATCTCCAACTATTTTTGAATACCATTATAATGTAGAAAACACAACAGCTGATTTTCACACAGCAACATCCCACAAATAGCAATACCAAAATAACAGGTAATCTGATTTTTTGGTGATGTTAGTTGACGGTCAAGACAACAGGGTGAACTGCCCTGTTCTTAGAAATAGTGCAGTCAGATCTACTAAACTATGGCCAAAAACTGGTGAAGTGTTTGGATTCTACCAAGCTAGTCAACCAAGCTTTTTAATGTTGCAGGGACATGCTGGTGTCACTTGAGAATTGGCCACTTCCCCATGCTTTCAGAAACAGGTTCTCATCATTCTGTGCAGAGGATAAAATCACCAACAATCTGCCATCTAAGACAAGTATTAAGAGAAAACTACCCCTCCCTCTCTCAGTTTGTTCAGCACTCACCATTTGGTGTCACTGGAACCTGAGTGCCAGCATGAATCAGGAGAGAAGACAATTGGGTTTGATTGAAATAAAATAAAATGAAGGAATATTAAATTGCCTTTAAACTGGGAAACACTTGAGCCAGTAAACAGTCTCTCCATGTTTAATACATCTTAAATTCCTTAAAACCAATATTATTGCAGAGGGGTAGGGGTGATTGATTGTGACTCTTACCTGTTGGTGCCATCTCTGGAGTAGTAAACCAAGTATGTGAGGATCTCAGAATGAGGCTCTGCAGGTGGGCGCCAAGTCAACTTGATGAAGCGTGTGGAGACGAGGAGAGCCATCACATCCCGAGGAGCAGAGGGCAGGAGTCCAGCCTTGGCAGCTGCTAGATGGTCAGCAGTGGCACTTGTCAGTGAGGGAGGGGGAAACGTTGGAATGGGAACATCTTGGATACAGGTAGGGATGGGTATAGGATGGCAGACACAATGATAAACAAAACAAAAATAAAAATAAAAAAAGGAGAAAATGAAAATAAAATAAACCAAACCAAAGCACAATGGGAACATAACAGAATGAACAAACACAGAAAGGGCAAACGAGCAACTTACTGCTGAACTGAAAGGGGTATGTACACATATTACAATAACATCACCATCACAAAGGCACATGCTGACATTACACCTACACACACAATTCAACAAGCTAAACACAATGGCACTGCACTGATTCCTAGAGTAGTGAACTTCTTCAATCCAGCCCATCCTAAAATATTCCAACTGCGGGAAGTAAAATCTGGCATTCAACTGCTACCTGATATTGAGCACTAGAGGAAAATCACCTCAGAACATAGAACATAGAACATAGAACTGTACAGCACAGGAATGGACCCTTCGGCCCATGATGTTGTGCCAAATTAAACTAATCCCTTCTGCCTGCCCTTGGTCCATATCCTTTCATTCCTTGCATATTCATGTATTTATCTAAAGATCCCTTAAATGCTCTTAACGTATCTGCCTCCACCACCACCCTGGCAGTGTGTTCCAGACTCCTACCACTCTCTGTGTAAAATACCTGCCTGTCACGTCTCCTTTGAACTTTGCCCCGTCACCTTAAACACATGCCCCCTAGTGTTAGATATTTCAACTCCGGGAGAAAGATTCTGACCGTCATAATTTTATAAACTTCTATCAAGTCTCTCTTCAGGCCCCACTGCTCAAGAGAAAACAACCTGAGTTTTTCTAGCCTCTCCTTATAGCGGCATACTGTCTAAACCAGGCAGCATCCAGCTAACCCTCTTCTGCACCCTCTCCAAAGTCTCCACATCCCTCCTGTAATGTGGTGACCAGAACTGAACGCAATACTCTAAATGTGGCCGAACCAAACTCTTATAAAGCTGCAACATGACATCCTGACTCTTGCACTCAATTCCCTGACCAATAAAGGCAAGCATGCCATATGCCTTCTTTCCCACCCTACCTACTTGTGTGGCCACTTTCAAGGAGCGATGGACTTGAACCCCAAGATCCCTCTGTACATCAATGCTGTTCAGGGTCCTGCTATTAACTGTATACCTTACCTTAACATTCGATCTCCCAAAATGCAGCACCTCACACCTACCCGGATTAAACTCCAGCTGCGATTTTTCCGCCCATATGCTCTATATCCCGCTGTATCCTTTGACAACCTTCTACACTATCCACAACACCACCGATCTTTGTGTCGTCTGCAAACTTACTAACCCACCCATATTCATTTTCATCCAAGTTATTTCTATATATCACAAACAGCAGAGGTCCTAGTATGGATTTCTGCAGAACACCACTAGTCACAGACCTCCAGCCTGAAAAACACCCTTCCCCCACCATTACCCTCTTTCTTCTATGGGAAAGCCAGTTCTGAATGCAAGCAGAGACAACAAGGTGCAGAGCTGGATGAACACAGCAGGCCAAGCAGCATCATAGGAGCAAAAAGGCTGACGTTTCGGGCCTAGACTCTTCATCAGA